ATCTTGTTCTGATTTTAATCATTCTGTCTGCAGATGAACAGCATGTCAYGAAAACCTAGGTCATTAAAGGATGTCATGAATTACTTGCTTAAACATAAAAGTATTAGATCCATTATAACAGAAAGCTAACTTTACGCACCAGGGCCCATTTGAGAACAAATTTCTACTTCCATCTAAAAAAAAATTGTGTTTCAAGTAGAACTTTATTATATAAAATTATTTACTTTTTTTGATTTGTAGATGTAAAAATTCTGAGTAATGATTAGCTGTTTTATTTTTAATGAGAGCAATTCTCCAAAATAAAATTGCTCTGACTGCTGTCTATCTCTGTCAAGACACTGACTACAGATAGTCAGCAAAGTTCAAAGTGATTTTAAAAAATGTATTTGTGTAAAAAATAGTTGCATATTAAACTGAGTGATAAAGCAGACAGTGATAAAAGAAAAACTTTAAACGTCTTCCAGGAACCAGGGAAACTAGTTTAAGGCTATTCTGGGAAAATAAGTACCATAAAATCTAAAAGAAATGGAATGAGACTATTTTTGAGCACTGTGTAACATATCAGCAAGGACTAATCGTTAATGCCTGAACCTGACAGTAATATCAATACTTCAGGTACAAACACTTAGCTTCAAGTGTACAGCAAGGAGGCTTTTTACTACTGCCTTATTTCTTAATGTCTTATTGGCTAATTAGGTATTCTCCTCACTTTTTATCCCTTCAGCATCCTCTGGTTTCTTTAGGCTAGCAGTGGAGCATAAAGCTGTCCTTTGTGCAGGAAACAGGTACACAGAAACACAGCAACACCTCTAAACAACAACTCACATGTTCAAAATGTTTCAAGAGTCTGAGCCTGTAGCTGTGTGTCATTCAGCCAGAGTATTAATCAGTGACACATAAAACACCTCTGAGGTGCATGGAAGCATGTTGACTTGTGTGTGTGTGTAGAAGTGTGCTGTTTGTGTTGTCGAGTGGCTATAGTGGCTGACTTGAAGGTTTTAGGCCCCCTGCTCAGAGCTGTAATGAAACTGAACTCTGTTGTGTATCATATTTGTAAGAAGCGAGTCAGAGCACATCCTGTCCTGTGTCTCACGTCAGTCTCCTCTGTGTTCAGCATGCTTTTTGTTTTTTGTTTTCTCTCAGTTGTCCTCGCTCTTTTTCTTTACGTAACGCTGCCATTTTCTTACATGTCGTCTTTATTTATTTAGGATTGTTTTCAAGGTCTTCCTGTAATTGTTTCTCCTTCTTTTCGCTCTTCCAGGAACCCAGACATGAATGCGTCTTGTTGTGGTTTTCTGCAGAAACTGAGCATGTGTCTCCTTTCCATTTCAGACCCTCCCCCTGGCTTCCATTACGGTATACAAAAGTTGCACACACATTTGCACCACATACACACACACACACACACACACACACACACACACACACACACACACACACACACACACACACAACAAAATGCAGCAAATTGTTGTTCCTGTTCGCTTTAGAGACATGATGCTCAACTGTTAAATTGAACTACTGAAGATGAGAACCATTTTAGTGTGTAGGTCAGAGTTTTGATCTATCAGACTCAATTCTTATAAAGTTGTACAGTTTAATTATAGTGGTCACCGACAAGGAGGCTGACTAAAAAAGAAATGGTGGTGTCACAAAAGCAGCTGCACATATGCTGATGTCTTCTGCATGGTCACTAACAGGAGCTTCAACTTCTACATGAGGGGAAATGACTCACATCTCTGTGATATGATCATTTTAGAAATGACTCTAAAACAAACAGAAGATGTGCTGCCGAGTTTCTTTAATGTCAGTGTTTAAGAAAGCGTGGACAGCGATTCTAGTTAAAAACTTGTTATTTTTTATGTGCTAGGCAGAAGCAAATTATAGAAAGTAGAAATAACAACACAGAAATGGAACTTTGCCCTATTTGTGCTCCTGTTCTTTCCACGTCGTTGTCACATACCCTGAAATAAAACAGGGAAAAAACACATCTCAGACGAGACTGCATTTGTTCCCAGGAAGAAAAATTGAGGGAAACATTTCTTTAAAGTATTGAGGTGAGATACAAGACTTGTATGAGTAAGCATACATCTGTTGGTGTGTGAATAATACATTTGGCAGATCTAGACTTCTGTTTGCTCATTTTCTTGTCACAATCTTCAGTCTTGTAATGTTTTGTTTCCAATTTGTTTTTTTTTCCTCATGTTGTTTTGGATGTTACCATCCCATTTTAATTATATATTTGTCTCTTTTTTTTTACTATAATGCATATTTTATTTGTTATGGTTTTGAGAAAATGCTTCTTCTTTTATGTTTCTGTTTATACATGTTATTGAAATCTCAGGCAGAAAGCCACAGTTTTCTGTTTTTTTTTTTTCTCTGTCCATTCTGTTTTTCTCCTGTTTGTCTTCACCTTTCTGTCCTTTGCTGTATTACTCTCACTCAAAGTCTTCTTTATTGACTTTGCACAAATTTTTTTGTCTTTGTGACTCATTTTGCAAATATATTAGGCCCCCCCGCTCTGAGCTGTAATGAAACAGAACTCTACTGTGTCTGTTTTACTTCTGTAACCATTAAAGATTTTTTTCTTTCACAAGGTCCCAGATTTGTTGTTTGTCTTTAGCTGCATTTTTATTTGCTCAAGGTTTTTAGCTTAATCCACCTTACTTTTCTTTTGTTCCCCGTTTTTATATCTATTTGTCTTTTTTGTAGTTAATTTCTCCAAAATTTATTCTTTTCTTTGTCCTTGTTCTTACAGACTTATTTAAGGCTTTACATCCTTTGTTATTGACTAGTGAATCTTGCCTCAAGTCACTCTCTTACAGCTCCTTTGTCGTCATGTTCTTTCTGCTCTGCATTTCCCATCATTACTTCACTTATTCTGCACATGCGCTGGGAAAAAGTTTTGACATCTTTGTCTAAACTATTTTTTTCATGGTGAAAAGCAGAGGGAGGAAAATGAAACCTGACTTGCCGAAGGGTGGTAAAAAGTTTTGACACTTTAATAAGATTTTGTTTTCTAAAAATGTCAAAATAATGATATTTGTAAATTATACATTTTCTTCCTGTTCTGCATAAATCTTATCAATATTCTAACAGTTAATAAAGCTGCTATTAATGTTGCTGTAATGATTGATTTCAGGAAACTTGGTAAATGGTAAATGGACTGAACTTATAGAGCGCTTTTCAAGTCCCTCCGGACCCCAAAGCGCTTTACAGTAACAGACATTCACCCATTCACACTCACATTCACACACTGATGATGGCAAACTACACTGTAGCCACAGCTGCCCTGGGGCACACTGACAGAGGTGGGGCTGCCATGCACCGGCGCCACCAGACCCTCTGACCACCATCAGTAGGCAAGGTGGGTGAAGTGTCTTGCCCAAGGACACAACGACTGAGATGGCTGGACGGGGGATCGAATCAGTGACCTTCTGGTTCCAGGACGACTCCCCTAACCACTCCGCCACAGCCGCCCCTAACATCAGTATTATCCTGTCACTGGCAGATACTGATATAATGTTTGAATGTAACAGGCTATTTCCAGACTCAACTGTGTGCAAAATACCTTATAAACCACTGGCTGTAATTTAATGAAACTATTAGCAATCAGGAGAGATACAACTGAATAACTTTTGGAGTCAACCCATTTTATTTTGTCCGGCTAATCAACCTTAGCTAACTCAAAAGTGGAACTACATCTTGATCAGTGTTTTCACATGTTAAGCTGACATGTGGTGTTGTAGTAGTTGAGAGTCCTCCCCATCACACACTGTGCACAAATGAGATCTGTGTTTAAACATCTGGCAGCAGGTAGTTTGTACTTGTTCGAACAATGTTTGCTTTTAATTTGTTAAACTGATGGTTTAGAACAGGGGTGTCTAATCCTGGTCCTCGAGGGGCCGCTATCCTGCATGTTTTACTTGTATTCCTGCTCCATCACACCTAATTGGGTGATTTAATTACACCTTCATGTTTGTCAGAAGTCTGCTAATCACTCATTCTTTCAAATCAGGTGTGTTGGAGCAGAGAAAATTTCTAAAACATGCAGGATAGCTGCCCTTGAGGACCTGGATTGGGCACACCTGGCTTTTAGGCGCTGACTAATTTTACTTTCCTATGATAGTTATCATAGGCCTCAAGGCCTCCTGTTTCATTACATTAATACATTTTTTCACGTTTGTCTCCCCTCATTGTCTCAAGTGTCATTTTTCAGACTTTGTTCTGCTTTGTTTGCTTTGCTCATTCCCAGATTTTGAGGAGGTGGACAATCTTCTGCACCGCAGCCTTTCCTCTCTGTGTTGCCATCTGTCCGACTGGCCATCTCTATTGTGTGAATATCAAGAACCAAGAGCCACTCAGTACTGCCTGGTGATCATCCTTTACCTGGCTCTGAAGCATGGAGACAGGTAATACAGAACACAGAAAAAAAAAACACATTTTTGTGCTTTATCAAATGTTTAGACATGAATGAACACTTTGGTGATGTATTTTTCTCATGAGTGAAAGCTCTTAAATTTGCAAACAATTTGCTTATGAATAAAAAATAACGTCCACAGTTTTAACATGTACCAAGATCCAAAAAGGCTGCATTATGTGGAAATATATTGATCTATTCAATAATTTATGGCTGACCTGACTTCTAAGTGCTTTTACAAAGTGTTTAGTAAAAGAAACTAAGAATTATTTGATCCAGGAGCACAGACTGTTCTCCTAAGCCTGCATTTATTTTGGACTGCAACAGAAGAAGTCTTTAATCAGAAAAGTCGTTTACTTGCTTGGTTGCTGCTGTGTTTCTTTTGGGTACACACTATATTAACTCTGTTAAAAGAATCAATAGAGAAAAGAACAATTTTACCAAACTTTGTTCGGCTTAGTGTCTGTTCTTATACTTATATAATGGGCAGCAACACAACTCCTTGTTTTAGTTTTGACTGTCTGAACTTTATTATTATTTTATTAATGCTTTACTTGAGCAAATAGTCCATCAGTTTAAGATCAATGGGCCTCATGCAAGAACCGTTCGTACGGACAGATTTGTTCTTAAGTTGTGCGTACGAGTGATTTAGGAGAATTTGTGGCATTCACCAA